GAGAGAGAGAGAGAGAGAGAGAGAGAGAGAGAGAGAGAGAGAGAGAGAGAACATCTCTAATTCTGAATCTGGCTCAAAACTGCTTCCAGATTCAGACAAAATCATCCAGAACAGTGACTAGGCCGATTGGGACGAAGTGGGTGGGCTGGGCATGAGGCTGTAGGCCTGGGTCCACGCCGTTTCATATTTGAATTTCAAGGACCTGCGGCCCCCATGCCGTTTCAAAATATTTTAGACCACGGCCACCTACCGGTTCCCAGGAAAATGCCACGCGCAAATACTGGTCCTGCATTTGCTTGAACTGCGCCCCCCCCCAAAATGCCAGTGCCTTTCATTTTACCAGCCTTTGAACGACCAATGGGCCCGAATGAACGATCGGTATAACGAACGACGACGAAAATGTCTCAAGGGGGGAAAACGCAACCCTGACGGGCTGCGAACAATCGTCCTACAATTGGGACTCTGGTTGGCGGCAGTTTTAGTGCCTTTGGTTGGGCCGCTGGCCTCCTCGGTTGGACATTCAGTTGGGATTTTGGTAACTTCCCTCAGGACTTGGGACCTTTTCAAACAAGTTGTCCTACTCGATGTTGACATGTACAAAATGAGTGGGGATCAAGGTACTTGCGGGACAGAGTGTGACTTACACAGGGTGGGCCATTGTGTTGCCGACCCTTCTAGCACTGGTTCCTGGCCCTGAAATAGTGTATGTGACCGGTGCTTGACCGGCCACAGCAGGTTGCAATCCTTCATATGCTGCGCCCTCAGGAGTTTGGCCAGTTGCCGCAGTACTTGGCCCAGTTATAGCGCGCTGCGACCTGTGGGTTTTGGGGTATCAGACCCAGAAGTGCGCCGGGGGTATTTAGGTTCGGCATCCAAAAGGAAAACCGAATGGCTCCCCCGGCGGTTCGGCAGAACTTGGGGTGCAGGGGGTATTTAGGCTCGGCATCCATAGCTGGGCCAAGTAGTGCCTTTGGATCAAGCAGAGGAGACATCCCTTTTTTTTTTTTTTTTTTTTTTTTTTCCCTTTTCCTCACCAGTTTTTGGCAAAGCGGTCCCACCCACCCTTGACTTTCCCGCGGTGTGTGGGCTTGCGGCCACCTTTACGACTTTCCTCGTTATGATCTGGCATCATCTCCGTATGGCTTTTGCTTATTTTATTTGGGTTGGATTTGACTCGTGCACTTATGCGACGTTGCCACGCCCTCAAGGCCCTCGAGGTACTCATGACCTGTTCACAAACAGTTACATGCGTACCATTCAGCCACACGCGTCGCGTATGTTTTCTTCTGGATTAGGTGTACTGGGCCGGGTTCCACTGGCGCGCGTTTTTCTTCTGTTCTGGGCATTACGAGATCGCGAGCAGCAAATGAGAGAGGCTTGCACTGAGCACCGTCGGGGGCGAGGTCCAGTTAAAACACGAGGCTGACCGTCGATCTTCTTGATCTACGGCCCGCCATCTCTTACTCCGTGCAAGTGGGACCAACCTGGCAGCCCCTGGCCGCGGGCGGTGTTGCTCTACGTCCTATTTTTGATCTCGTCCATCGGTTTCGTACATGGGACTCGACATCGCTGAATGCTTTGATGAACAGTTTTTTTTTCGTTTCTTTTATGGACTTTTTTTTTTTTTTTTTTTTTTTTTTTTTTTTTTTTTCCTGCCCGCGCAATGTGCGTTTACTTTTTCGTTTTTCCGTGACGGACGTGATGACGTAACGGAAAGCTTCGGCTTTGCCTTTTGCTTTTGCCGAAAAGTTGCGGCCGAAAGAAAAAGAAAAAAAAAGAAAAAGAAAAAAAGTTTGGGACGGAGTTTGCGGAAAGCCAGTTGGTTGATGCCGATGGGGGGTTGCCAATGAAAGTAGGTAAATGTTGCCCGAAAAGGAAAGTCCGTTTCCGAATTAGGAAGGGCCGGGGCCAGGCTTTGTGGTGCTCAGGCGCGCAAGCCGCCCCTCCGATTGGTGGCCGTCAAGCCGATCGCGATGTGCACGCGGGGCTTGCATGGAGCGGGGGGTGTGACGGTACACAGCGAGGTTTCCTATGCGGTGATGGCGGGGGTTGATCCACGTTTGCACGGAGGTTTAGTGCACGTGGATCTGCTGCCCGGGACGGTTATCAGGCCACTCTGAAGGGCTGGATGCTGGCTGCAGCTGGTCACCCGGCATTTTCCAGAGACGCTCGGCGTTTTCTCCGTGAGAGTTGTCAGTAGGCTGGTAGAGACGCCCTGGAAGTCCACGGGGTAAGAAAAAGAGAAGGGAAGGGAAGAGAGAGAGAGAGACAGAGAGAGAGAGAGAGAGAAGCAGCCGCTCCGACGAGTCGTGCCGAGCCGTGTAGCCGATTGCGGCGTCCACGAAACCTCCACACGCACACACAGAGACACACACAGAGAGAGAGAGAGAGAGAGAGAGAGAGAGAGAGAGAGAGAGAGAGAGAGAGAGAGAGAGAGAGGGTTTGGGAACCAGCCGGCCCGTTGAGCCGTGCAGCCGATTGCGACGTGCACTAAACCTCCACAGAGAGAGAGAGAGAGAGAGAGAGAGAGAGAGAGAGAGAGAGGGTTTGTGAACCAGGCGCCCCGTCGGGCCGTGCAGCCGATTGCGACGTGCACTAAACCTCCACACACACACACACACACACACACACACACACAGAGAGAGAGAGAGAGAGAGAGAGAGAGAGAGAGAGAGAGAGAGAGAGAGAGAGAGAGAGAGAGAGAGAGAGAGACGGGTTCGTCGTCTGATTGATTGGATGCGATGGCGGCCTTGACTTCGAGTGCCTCGGCGGTGTCGTCTGCACAGTTATCGGAAGGAATCCGTCTCGGGGGAGGTGCCCATGGCAGGAACTCGATTGCCAGCTGGAAATTGGCTATGCATATCCCTTCTACCCCCGCGTTCTGCTTCTCTTCTTCACACGCAATCAATGGATTGCGATTACGTGAGTATGTGGGTCTTCGTGTAGCCATGGCGGATGGACTGGAGGCATCGGCCCGGCCGACCTTGCTTGAGCGCGAGAAGAGTGCGTGTGCTTTCCGTGTTCATCAGGAGCTTACACCCCAGGGAAATGAGAAGACGAAGACGAAGACGGTGAGGACGAATGCCTCTATGGGAGTGGATGTGGCGCCGCCTACCTCCTTCTCCATGGCTGCTACTAGCGCAGTGGCAGATGGTATGTCAACTAAATCTCTTCTTCCCCAAGGCATGTGGAAGGGATGAAGCTGTGACGACTGTTGTTGATTCACAGTGGTAAGACTTACAGTATCTTCCCGTAAGGGGACACAGCAGAAATGAAAGAAGGGTGGTCACGGGCATCTCGGGGATGCCGCGCTATCGTTATACACTGGATACACACACATACACACACATATAAACACATACACACATAGACACATAGACACATACACCCCAAGGAGAACCAAAAAGCTGTCTAATTACTTAATATTAAATTGCTTTTATATGTTGGACATCTCAAATGCTCTCGTTGTCTGCAATAGGACAAAGACTGCGTTGATTCTGAATCTATTCACCTGGTGAGTCGGTGAAAGTTCGACGAACATTCCGGCACAGTCGTTGCTGTTATGAGGAAAATCTAAAACACGCATACAGACATGCACAACAACCTCCTGATGAGTCGGTGAAAGTTCGACGAACATTCCGGCACAGTCATGCTTTTTCTTTTGTGGAGTTGTGTATAGCGAACATGACAACACACACATGCACACGTGCACACACACATGCACACGTGCACACACACATGCACACGTGCACACACACATGCACATGCACACACACGTATACACACATACACACACATGCACACACACATAGACACGTACACATTCATGCGTGCTGTCGTAGAGCTGTGTGAAAGTGAACATGACAACAAGGAGGACCAATATCACCTGATAAGTCGGTGAAAGTTGGACGAAACAGTCTGTCACAGTCAATCACCTTTGCTTGGCGGAGTTGTTTTTAGCGATTAAAGAGTAGACACACTTTTGTAAAGGGAAAAGGCCGAAAAAGAACCCTTCCGCGCGCAGATACTGTTAGATTGCTTTCGTTACGTGGACGTAATATACACACCTCATGCTGACGGCAGCTGATATGTTCCCTCCATCTCTCGGA